TAGTTTTCCGGCCCTCTAGGGCATTCCCTAATTGATATCGAATTTGCTGCCGAGTTGAGCCACTAGAACCCTTAGTCCTTTTAGGGCATTAATACAAATTATTGGGTATGCGGATAATCCTATTTGTAACCTAAGTTTATCAGAAAATAACTATTGATTTATCGTTGATATTATCGTGTTTGAGTTTTAGTAGTTTATCTTTTACTGTCTTATTTATTTAGTTTTGTATTTAACCTTTTATAGATTGATGGTCGCTGAATCAACCACTTTAATTTAACCAACTAATCAGTCGCGTGAAAGTGTATTATTGCTTAGTTTGTTTGCTATGCTTATTTCTATGCGCGCCTCGGCCTTTTATTTAACCATATTTATATGTTAGCCGAATTGGAATTAGTGGTTGAATATTCGACCAGTGAACATTGGTGACACTGAGTTCGCTGTATATCATATAGGTAATAATTGTCGTATATAATATAGGTAATAATTGTCGTCAAACCAAACCAAACTAAGCTAATAAAAATTTAAAAATATAGAAAAAAAATGAAATCTGAAAATCAATTATTAATATATAGTGTTCCATTACAAAAAACAAAACTTTGATATGTAACTTGTTTTGGGGACACCCTGTACAGGGTGGACCATTTTGGTTGTTTGTATAGGGTATCTAGGAAACCGTGAGAAATATTCAAATTTTGATACTGCTGTCTCGGGTTCTTTTTTTTTAAATTACAATGGCGCAAATGGATCGTGGCTATCTTGATCGGTTTCGAAGCTACAGGGGGATTCTCAAATCTTGTACTTTTTGAAGATGTTCGATAGTTTGTTTATTTCAGCAACCACGAAAAAATAAATAATCCATTCTAAAGGCACTTTTCTGTGTAGAATGCAGTGGCGTAGTCAGACTTTTTTCGAAAAAAATATATACGAACATTATTTTGCCGGCTCTTTGTGCAACTTCTCTCAGTGGCTGCAGACGACGTTGGTAAAGACAGCAGAGCAACAGCTAAATATTTCATTCATTCTTTTTCTTCTGATTTAAGAATAGGCATACTTGATATATTTTCGTTAAATTTTTGCTCAATGTTTTGAATTTTGAAAAGAAATTTCTTGCAAAATTCTAATTTTTCGAATATTCACCATTTTGGGACCGAATATTTCGGAAATTTCTGAAATTTCCTGCAAAATTCGAATGGAAATATTCGCTACCAACATCACTACCAACAGGTATGGTAGGCTATTAAGATCGTCAAAAAAACAGGTTTTTTAAATTTCGCTCAAAATGAGTTCTTTGGGTTATAAATGACCTAAATACAAAATATTTTCATGGTGTCTGTCTGTCTGTCTATCCGTCTGTCCGTCTGTAACACGATAACTCAAAAGCCGCTAAACCGATTTTAACCAAATTTGGCACAAAAGTACTGTGGCACCCGAGAATCTGGCCATTAGTTTTTGGTGGGTCGGAGGGTTTTGGGTTGGTAAGGGGGTATGGGAGGGGGCTAAAAATATTAAAAAATCGTAACTCCAAAATTACAGTAGCTAGCGAAACGCGGTTTTCAATTTAAGATTAGGAATAATATTTGCAACAAAATTTGTAATAACATCATAATCAGTCAAAGACGCAGTTTTTGAGAAAAAATTGGAAAAATTCCTTTACTTTGTAACTAAAAGAACTGCCTACCAACTTTTTATTAACATATTTTAGTATGGGCGGCTATACGTGCCTCCCGGCGCCAATTTTGTTTTCTCAAATACGATTAATGTTAGATATAGAGTGTTTATATCAAAATTCATAAAATTTTCACTTAAAATATCACAAGAGCTTAAATTATTTTCGGAAATTTTTTTGAGGGCACGAATATTTTGAAAATTATCCCGAGTCGAAGACGAGGGATAATTTTCCTAAAATATTCGTGCCCGAAAGAAAATTTCCAGGAATAATTTAAGCTTGCGTGATATTCGGTAAGAAAATTTCACACCTAAATTTGAAAAAAAAAAATATTAATCCAACATGACATTTTAAAATAATTTCAATTTGTTAAGTTGGCCAAGGTATTGATGTTTTTGACATATTATGTGTTTTGTCATTTTTGTTTGCGATTCTGTCATTAAGCTATTACTAGTTTTAAAACGTCTGTACGTAGAGTAAGAAGTGTATAGCAAAATGTCGCGATTTGGAAAAGTAAACCAACAAGTCATTAAAGAAGAAATTGAAAATATAAAACCAGATAAAACCCGAAAATCAAAATCAAGTGTATATCCATCATATTTCGTTAAATAGAAAAATACCAGCTTTAGTTAAATAAAGGCGGCAGAACTATATTTTTTAGAACATGGCAATTTCGAAGAAATTCATATGTAGGTATATCTAACATATTTCCTTAAATAAAAGATATTACCAACCTTAGTTACATCAAATGCTAAAACTCAAATGGGTAATATTTCAATATATAGACATTGTAGTTCATTCACATTATGATTGTAGATCTTATGTTTACCTTTTCAACTGTCAAAAAATTTCCACTAAAGTTTCGTGGCGCCTCGAAAAAATTTCCGGAAATTTTTTCAGTTGCCATGGTAACTAGTCAACATTAAAGCATGTTATTGGTTGAAAAGTAGAGGTGTGAAATTTTCCAAAGAATTTAACTATCTAGTAAAAAATGGGGGCACCCGTTTAAAATGAGAAAGTTGCGGTCAGCTTCCGGTATTTCCGGAAGTGTCGCCATATAAAAAATATTTTTAATCGCTAGATCTCTTTGTGAAACAATGATGTGCAAAAAATCTCTGATATAGATCTTATATAGTAGAATTATTTTCAGAAAGTTCCTCAATATGGCCGACCTAGTTACGAAAATTTTAGTTGGACCTAGTTGGAAAATTTTTTTAATGAAAAATAAGTTGGCGTTAGCGAATTCAGAAAATTGATTACTCTTTGGTTAACAATAACATTTTTCGATTGTCAAGTTGACGTTAAAGTTAGGTTATTAGGTGGTTGTCATAAATCGTAAATAAAAACATAGATTATTGAAATTATTTAATAAAGGTATTTTACCGCAGATCGGAAGAGATTTTACTTAAAGGTATTTTATAAACTTTCTCAGTGAGAATATTAACTCCCCTGTTTCTTATATTTTAGTTAAAGGGACATAAGAACTATAAGAAGTGAATTTTTGTTTTCATCTTTTGACGATATCTGGGAGTTTCTAGAATTATCAAGATTATTGAATAATTATAGTTGTTTAATAAGTGAAATTAATAGAAGACTTGGAATAGGATGATGCCTTTCATGTTATAATTGACAGATCACCCCACTTCTCTTAATTTGCTTTTATTTCAGTACAGTTAATCACAAATTGAATTGTGCAAAAACAGCTATATATTTTCAAACATCTTATTTAAATAGTTCTTTGATATACTGCTAAACTGTATCAACTAGAAAGTATTTAGCAAAAAGTTATAAGGTAATAAATTTCGTAGATATAATTTATGAAAATTTATATGTATAAAAAGATTAGAACACAATCCTCAGAGGGAAAAAGAAATACTCAAAAACTCATTAAATATACTTTATTAAAAATAACAACATACAAACATAAAAACAGTCATCCATGCAAACTGTAATAATCAGAACATTATCCACATTATACCTTTATTAAATTTGTGTTCACACTCCTGTCAGGAAAGCCAGAAATGTTTGTTTAAATATTAACTTATTTTAAATTGCCAGAAACACATCAGAATATGTCACAACCACAACTATAGGTTTGGAATCAGTACTAAATTTTATACCTAGTAAGTAACAAGTATAGGTCAACTATAGTAAAGTAAAGTATAGGATAAAAAAGAATTATTAATATAGAGTCCGAGTATACGATGTCCTTCTGCTTATTTATGAAATGACTTTCCTTTCAAATGTGAGGAATACCAGTAAAATAAAACATAATTTTTGGTTTGGTTTGGTGTTTGATATTCTAACTAAATCTATTACAAACCTTAAGTGCTTTTAGTGAGTAACTATTTTTTATTATTCTTTGTGTATCGCGTAAAGTAAAAAAATATATATTTTAAGAAATATAAAAACAATGCAATAGATATTAAACAGATTCATAAAAACTACTTACAATTATTGTACATATTATATATTTCAAGTGTTAGTCTCTCTCATTGCCAACATTACCTTATTTAGGTCTTCTCTACTAACTCAGCTTTTAAACCTGTTTTAAACTTTCTTTATATTTTGAAACTGGTTTACAACAATCTGTAATGCCCGCGCTGTTTCCTGAAATATAAGTTTTAATCTATTTATTATCATATACATATTACAAACCTGAAAATTAGAGACTTTTTACAAACCTCTAGACTAATTTATTTTCACGAATTTGTGGACAGTCAATGCTTTCTAATACGTTTTTAAGCGTTTTGCACATTTTGAATATCTTCCAGCCTATTCCTCAGTTCTTGATCGGTGAAAAGATTATTTATAAGTATATGATTAGTACTGCAGGCTGCAGGTTAAATAAAAGAACAAAATCAAGTAGAATTTGTAAATAAAAACTCAAAAAATAATGAAAATATTTAGAAAAAGGCACAGTAAACGCTAGACGTCAGTCAGCCAAGTGTCAGAGTTCAATTAGATTTACCACAGATTATCAATTTGAACCTTAGATTTGAACGATTTGAACTACAGTCGATTCCAGTCTAGGGATTTTCGTTCTTTAAGCCTCCCATACTGAAGTCCGCCATATTGGGAAGTTTTAAATAAATACAAGTATAGTTCCCTAGAAACTTTTAATGTACGCTCAAGTTAGGACACCCTGTTTAACTGAACCATCCAGTGTAGCAAAAACTAAAACCCCATTATGGGATAAAGGAAACAGCGAAAGAAAACAAAATCGATATCAATTTCCGGCTTAGAACAAAAGCCTTACCGACTATACGATCCCCGTCTCTCAGTCGAGCTGCCCATTTTCTATAAATTTCTTAAAAGGATTATTCGGTTTCAGTTCCGCCATCGGTCTGGATCCAGTATCAATTAATTGGCGCCTACGACGGTCAGAAAATCACCTTGGAATGTCACTCGCAAGCCTTTCCCAAGTCCATTAACTACTGGAGCAGAGATAATGGAGATATTATACCTCACAGTGAGTATTGGAAGTTATTATAGGTATTTTTCTGAAATTTGATAAGGTCTTCTATGCATCAAAATGCATTTTTTGAAATACAAAAAAATATTTTGTTGTATCTCTTAATTCCCTTCCAGCCGATGCAGATACGATTTCCACAAAACAATCATTGCGAAATAAAATTATTTTAATTTTTTTATGCAAAAACCATGCGTCAGAGAAAAAAAAATGAAGAGGTAAAAACTGTTTAGAAAAGAATGAAGATTTTTAAAATTGTATTTCTTTTAAACCAGTCAGTGGCGTACCATTTTTTCTCCGACAACAAACATTTCAAATTTATGATTTCAGTCTAATAACTACAACCTCGCAAGCTTGTTTATTTATGTCAATGATGACTGGTATTGATAATTTCGATTATAAAATATCTCGAGAACCATTACTCGTAAAGATTTTTTCCAAGAGACATTTTTTACGTAAGAAATGTCGTAAATGTATATTTTTTTTTAGTCAGTAGCTTTATACAGGTACAAACAAAAAGTTATTACTCTTCAAACCAGTTAAAAAATACGTAGGTGGTGCCCTCTACAAGTATGAGTCATATTGACATCAAAATCAAATTTCCCATGTCAAAAAACTCCCAGACACCAATTTTCATCCAAATATATAGATTACTTCATAAATTATTTGAAAAAAATCGAAATCAAAATAAAATTTCTACACCCTGTATCTCCGAAACTAGAAACTGAGTAGTGGCGTCCCTCAAGGCTCAGTTTTTGGGCCACTTCTCTAGAAAGTTTTATATAACAATATATTGAGAACGGAGATGCCAAAGGACGTAACGCTAATTGGATGATTTGCAGACGAACTATTTTACTACAACTACCAAAAACTACAAAACTACCAAACCAAACTATTTTTTAATACACTGATTTCTGGCTTCTAGTATTAACAAAAATATCTACTAAAAACACATTTCCAGTTCCTTTTATTTTTCATTAAAATTTTTATTTCTCTGTTAATTTCTCTTTTTATAAATAATTTTGCCTTGCTTTAGTAATTTCCACCTCATTTGCTTAATGGAAACATGCCTATGCTTTACTCTTTATCTTCCGTATGCGTGGAAAAATTCTCTTTTTTTATAATTACAGTTTTCCAAGTTGGCATTAGCACTCTTTAACGTCAAGAGAGACCAAAGCATTATGATAAAAATAACTAATATACAATTTTTTAATTCTGACCTTTTTAAAATGTTACTAATAACTATAATAAAAATACCGGGTGTGTCTCAAAAGTGGCACACCCCTATAACTCTTTTGTTTTTTTAGATAAAAAAAACGAGATTTGGTATCTTAGTGTATGACATAAATTAGGATTGATTGACGTATTCAGTTGTTTTCTTTCGGTCACTTCCTGTTTCACCGGAAATTACTACAACTTTTGATTTTTAAATGACACCCTATGTATTTATTTACTTTATTCGATAGAAAATGACACTCTGTATAGAATGATATATCATATGTCAACTTTTGACATTTTAGCATATGGTTTATTTGATACTAGCGTGTACCAGCGACTTCGTTCGCGTCGAATTAATCATTTGTAATGGTGATGATAAAGCAAAGCAAGAATTTCCATTAACATAGAAACTGGATAAAATTTTCTCACAATTATGTCAGCATGAGAAAAAACAATATGGCGATATTATTATATAACTTGGTAATATTTGAGGGGTAGTTTCATCTCGTTGGAATTTGACTTTCGAAAAATCCGTTTGCCAAAAATAAGCTTTTTACGTCAAGTAGTTTAAGCAGAATCGTGTTAAGAAATTACCTAACTTTTTGGAACAGACTGTATGATTTTTTAAAAAATTTCAAAATATGTAAAAAAACCAAAATAAATTATGCTTGTCCAAGCGTTTTCCCGAAAGACTAACCGTTTTTTAAATAACAAATATTGTTATATTTGAGGGGCGTTTACTCTCTTGGAATTTGAGATTCGAGAAACCCCTCCTTATCGAACCCCTACACCCCACAGTCAATCCGTTTGCCAAAAAATAGCTTTAAACGTCAAGCAGTTTAAGCAAAATCGTGATTACTCAATGGTCATATTTTAGGGTGTTTCACCCTGTATAAATTTATAAAAAATCTTAAAATATATAAAACAACAAAATAAAATATACGTGTTTGAGAGTTTTTCCGAAAAACTCACCGGTTTTTAAATAAAAAATATTTTAATATTTGAGGGATAGTTCCACCCCCTCATTCGAATTTCGAAAAATCTCTTCTTATTGAACCTCTACACCCTAAAGCCAATCTGTTTTCCAAAAATCAGCTTTTTACGCCAAGCGCTTTAAGCAGGATCGTGATTAATCAATGACCAGATTTTTCGAAACACCCTGTATACATTTTTAAAAAAAATCTTAAAATATGTAAAAAAAACAAAATAAAATATACGTATTTAAGCGTTTTTTCGAAAACTTGACCGTTTTTTAAATAAAAAATATTGTAATATTTGAGGGGTGGTTTCACCCTCTTGGAACTGAAATTTCGAAAAATCCTTTCTTATCGAACCTCTACATCCTAGAATCAACCTGTAATTAAATCAACCTTGTAAATAAAAAATTATTCGTAAAAAAATGCTTTTTCGAAATATGCTAATGAACCAACCTTGTTCCATTTGAAAAAAAACCTGAGATATGATTAAAAATACGATTTGGGCGTCTTAACCTGCCAGGACAAGACAAGAAAAACACTAAACAATCAAATCTTTTTTTTCAAGGCTCCTTGATTAAAAATTGGTGTTTTTAACACAGCCATGGCACTCTAGATTGAAATTTAAAACACGATTTTGTTTTAAGCGAAAATGTCAAAAGTTGGCATATGATATGTCATTCCATTCAGAGTGTCATTTTCTATCAAATAAAGTAAAAATATACCTAGGATGCTATTTAAAAATCAAAAGTTGTAGTAATTTCCGATAAAACAGGAAGTGGCCACAAACAATTGAATACGTCAATCAATCATAATTTATGTCATATAATAATATTGAAAATCTCGTTTTTTTATCTGAAAAAATAAAAAAGTTATAGGGCTGAGCCTACTTTTGAAACGCACCCGGTATAAATAAATAAATAAATGAATGCTTTTTTTCAATAGCGACTGTTAAAATTGCCTTATATCTATCAAAAATAGTAGATAAAATAGTGCTTTAACCGCAAGGGAAGATTAAATATTTATATACTTTAAATTATATACTTTAACGGCGAGGATAGGTTAAAAACTTTATTCTGCAATCCTGTATTAAAAATCTTCAAATTACAAAGAATCATCATTATTATTTGTAGTCATGAAAGCTATGAGCTTACTATATCTACAAAGTTTAGATGTTACTATACTACTACGGAAATTTAAACGGTATAGCTTATCCTTAACCTTAAAATATCAATGTCTTCATTGACCAGTGTTGTACTTTTTAGCATTGAATAATACGACCAGTGCCTTCTATTAAAAGATCAGCCTGGGGCGGACTTTTGTTTACTTCATCAGCTGTACATACTTAGATATTGGGTTAGATTCCGTTTCATATTTTGTCGGTTGATTTTTGGTTTTAACTCTTTGATTTTTGGTATTATTTATTATTGTAGTGCAAAAAACTAATTATTTTGGTGTTTAAGTGACATAAACTACTACTAGATATATGGTCACTCTCGGTTTCGCATAAAAAAATAGAAAATTGAAAAATTACACGTTGTGTAAGTGATTTAACCTAAAAGTGCCCATACATTTTTTACTTATCGTGATTTTTGTGTGTGTTTTTTAAGACTCTAACAATTCATCAACAAAGCTTAAATGGAGTGTGTTTTTGGTGCTATGCGTCATCTTTGTTGTGTTGCTGGTGGAAAGGATAGTTATACTAGGCAGCCTAAAGTGTCCGGAAGAGCAAGAAAAGTGGGTACGAGTTATAAATCAAGAGAATTCTATTGAAAATATCTTTAATAAATTTAAAAATAATATTCTCCCATGATGGTATTAATGAAAACTGGACAATTATGTTTATTTTATTCATATTGTGGAATCTCCATTCCAAGTGTTGTTGGTTCAGCTTCGATAGATTCAAACACGTAAGTAGGTATTATGATCTAGGGAAAAATAAAGAATATGTATATTAAAGATCATGAAAAACATTATTATTTTGAGTTCAAATTTTAAAAAAGATTTGTGTAAAGACAAGACTGATACAGTTTAAAAGAAGAATGTGTTTTTGTTTGATAATATATAATGTATGTCAAGCATAACATATATTTGTTCAGTATTTTTTAATTAATAGTGTTGATTATTTATAATAACAAATTAATATCAAATATTTAAGTTATGGCTGAATACAATATGAATAAAATAACAATAAAATTGGTATATTTGCATAATACAAAATTAAGTTTTAAGAATAAAGGTATTACTAAAAATACTAAGAAATTCATATTTCTTTGTTTTAATTGGTCTAATGTTATTTACATTTTACGTAAGAATTATACCGTATCATCGAAAAAAATCGGCGTCTAGTTGGCTTGGAAATGAACATCGATGACATTCTCTAAATAACTGTACACATAAAATAATTAACTAGAATTTTACAATCTTGGAAAATTTGATATTCTTGAACCTTGTTTCTAAATATTCTAAAAGAAACAACCAGACTGGTTTAACGAAAATCAACCTCATATGCAGACCTTCTTGGAACAAAAGCATAGAGCACATCAAGCAGTAACTGCAAATCCACACAATCCAAAACTGGTAGACAACTTTAAAGCAGCCAACAATACGCTTCGAAGAAATCTGCGCCAATTAAAGGATGATTGGTGGTCACAAAAGGCTACTCAGATGCAAGAGTACGCCACGCATCACGATTATGGTAAGTGTTTTGAGGCTGTAAAAGAAGAATACGGCCCAACCAAGAAGGTAAGCTGCCCAATTATGGCACAAAATGGCGAACTTCTAAAAGAGGAAGAGCAAATTAGAAACCGCTGGAAAGAGCATTACAGTCATATCCTTAACCAAGAAAACAACCCCAATATAGAAGCACTAAACACAATACCTCAGTATAACAGCCTCTATGTATTAGATACTCCAATAACATAACAGGAAATAATGGCATCCATAAAACAGCTTAAAAACAACAAATCAGCTGGCTGTGACGCGATCCCGGCGGAAATCTATAAGTTTGTAAAGAACTTATTGGTCATCTTCAGGCTCTCCTCGATGTCATATGGGAAAGCGGAGAGGTACCTTAGGACTTTTGCAACGCGAATATAGTGAATATGTTTAAGAACAAAGGAAGTGCATCAAACTGTGGAAATTACCTAGGAATTTCACTATTGGCTATCGGAGGAAAAATTAAAATTATGTCAAATTGCCTTCACCCACATATAGAAAAAATCCTTCCAGAATCGCAAATCCAACCGTGGCACCGTCGACTCTATATTTTCCATCCGCCAACTACAGGAAGAAGTAAAAGAGCAACAGTCTAAACTTTATGTTGGATTCATCGATCTAACAAAAGCCTTCGACTCTGTGAACAGAGATGCACTTTGGGCAATTATCAAAAAGTTCGGAGTACCCAACAAATTTTTTACAGTGTGTAAAAGCTGAATAACAACAACCAGTCAAGAATGTCACATCATGGATCACTGACCGATCCCTTCCTGACAAATACAGGAGTTAGGCAGGGATGTGTCTTAGCGCCTCTCCTATTCGACATATTCAGGCAGCGCTCTCCATTATAGTAGACAGCAAACTGCAGGAGAGAGGATTGGGCATTAGATACAGATAAGACGGCTGTCTGTTTAACATAAAAAGACTGAGGGCAAAAACACGTACAAAATTCATCACAGAACTTCAATACGCTGTTGACTGCGCTCTAGTTGCAAACACGTTACAACAATTACAAGAAATGTTGAACACATATACCTGGGCATACGAGGCTTTGGGCCTGAAGCTAAATATCAACAAAACCAAAATCATGTGCACTTCCCCGGAAGATCATAACAATGCTATAAAAATCGGAGAAGAACTATTGGAATATGTAACAGAATTTAATTACCTCGGCAGTTTGATTTCGGATAAGGTCAATATCGACTCTGAAATTCAGCACAGGATTAGCAGCGCCTAAAGAGCATTCTGGAAATTAAAAGACAGGCTTTTCTACAACCATGACTTGAGTACAAAAACGAAACTGGCAGTGTACCTGGCAATTATAATCTCTACCATGTTATATGGGAGCGAAACCTGGCTGCCGTACCGCCGACACATGAAGGCATTAAACAAGTTGTGAACACAAACAGAAACGCCTTAGACAACTCTTAAGAATCCGGTGGTTCTATCATGTCTCAAACGTATCGGTCCTTAAAAAACTTAACTGCGAGAGTATTGAAGTCATGGTTACAAAATCCCGCTTAAGATGGTCTGGTCACGTATGCAGAATGCAAGAAAACCGCATACCAAAATCTCTGCTCTACGGTGAGCTTGTAGACGGTAAGAGGAGGCCGGGTGGACAACTCAACTCAAGAGGTACAAGGACATTTTCCACGAAAACTTAAAGGGGATTAACACGCAGAATCATTGGGAAGAAGCAGTTCACAATAGAACTCAATGGAGAAGAATTGTATACTCAGTTAACAGCGACAACCAAAAAGTAAAGAGGCAACAAAGCAATGAGATTTTTGAATGTCCGGAGTGCGGTAGGCAAAAAACATCACGTATCGGGCTTTTCAGTCACAGAAAAGCTCATGAAAGAAAACGTCTTGCGTGACCATCTTTTGATGCGTGTCGAATACTCGTCAGCGAGTAATGGCAGTATGTATGTATGTATGTAGTCCTCTAGCAACTTTTAATGCGCGTTCGGTCTGGGACATTCTGTATATTCGGCTGTTGTTATTTTAACCTCAGCTATTTTATTATTTTTAGTTTATAAAAATAAAAACTACCCTAACTTTAGCGAAAAGTTCTGAATAAGTACGGCTGACACCTTTTTATTGTTACAACTTCATCTCTAGCCTTAATGTATTTTTTAGTAGATATTTAACAGCCACGTCGTAAAGCTGAAAGCTCACTTTTATTGGGACATCAGACGAAGATACTAAAAAATAATGTTTGTTAAAGATAAAATATTTCCGTGTACTGTCCTTATCGATTCCTTTTAAGTTTTTTTCTGTTAAGCTCCACCTGGTGGAAGTTTAATAAACTACATCTAGAAGGAGTCGTAAAGTTCTGTAGACACGTTTCGGTTTTAAGCGTCTTCAGACAACCTCCTACTTAATATTGTATTTAATGGGCAAAAAGGAGGAAGTATTCTATAGTAAAAGTCCTCTGTCTGTAGTAATCTTGTAAATATTTTAATACATTTTGATTTATACACAGTTACAGGAGAACTTTATACGTAAATTTCGTTTATTTGACATCTGGTAAAAAGCAATAAAAATAGAAATAAAAAAAACCAAGAAAAAATAATAGATCAATTTTTGCTTTACAGGGTGTTTTATTTTCTTGCGTTTTACAAAGTTTACAGGGCGGTTATCACACCACATTGCTATTTTTTTATTAAACTAAAGATCCCTAAGGAGTAAGATTCCTATAATACAGGGAAATTTGAAACTGTGTCCCTTATGCCGGGTCCAGACTAAGGCGACAGAAAGTGAACACGATTTTGAGACAAAAACAAGACAAACCCGCGACAAAAATGGGAAATTCAGAGAAGAATGAAAATGAATCAAGACAAATTTGAGACAAACTATCTGTACACAGTGGCGGCTCGTGAGTATATAGGAAGGTGAGGCTATATGAGGTTAATGTTCTTCTTATAGTGCCATACTCTATATAGAGTAGGGATCAGCAAGACAAGAAATCTTGTCTTGACAAGCAATTTCTTGTCTTGTCTTGAAATATTTTCAAGAATTAAAAAAAAATCTTGTCTTGACCATTTCTTGAGAGGTGATTTCTTGTCTTGATTCAAGAAATCTTGAAATTTCTTGATATCTTGACAAAAGGGAAACCCCCGTTTAAAATTCGTTTATTAAAGGGGAACCCCCTGTTTAAAAGTCGCGGTGAGATTGGTTAATGTGATGTTTATGATTTATGCGTAAAATCGAGGGTTAGGCATCTAATTTTCAAAATTTTCAAAAACTTTGGGCTCATTATACTACAGTAGCCAAAATCAGCAGATTTACATAATTTTGTTAATTATTATTATTATTATCTAACCTATCTAACCTAACCTAAAACGAGTGATTGTGATGGTTTGTTGACCAGCAAATCTGAGCCATTCGTAATTGAATCTGGTTCAGAATACCTACCTACACCTCAGACACCTGGACGTAGAAGTTTAATTAGTAACTTTGACAGTGTAGTGACGGTGATAATACTACTACAGATAAAACAGTCAAAACAACAATGATAAAAGCTACTCTACTTCAGTGGCGTACATTAAAAATGTATTTTTTTTTATTTTAAAAGTTTTACGTTAATTCAAAAAGGCTGTATGCCACTGAAGTATACCCACTTTGTAAAGTAAATGAATATTTCTTTTTTATTTTATATTTTCAAGAAATTTTAAGATTTTCTTGATTTCTTATCAAGCAAGTTGCTGGACGAATTTACGCTTACCCGATTTGCGTTCGTACTCGAGATTCATGCCGGCTATTCGGCTGGTCAGGCAGTACGCAGTTGCAGTTGTGCTTGGACGGGTCGGTCGTGACAGACTAGGAATACGACTCGAGGAGTGCCGAGTATTTATTATTTTTATTTTAAGTGTTTACCTTCACTTAAGGTAACATTTAAAATGAAAATATTTATTATTTGAGTGTGTTTACAAGCCAAAACTAAAAATAAATAAATACTCTAAACCCAAAAAAAAACTAAATTATTACTCTAAATAGATAAAAAAGTTATAACAAGTGTTCAAACAGACCACCTTCTTGTGCTAGACAGAAGTCTAGGCGGTCGTAAAATCCTCGTCTGACATTGGCTAACATATTAGGGCTAATAGTTTGGAAAGCCTCTCGTATTTTTACTTGAAGCTCATTTAGATTATTAGCCCTATTATGACCATACACTTTGGATTTTACATAACCTCACAAAAATAAATCATTGGGAGAAAGATTTGGTGATCTAGCGGGCCACAAAATAGTTCCATATCCACTAATTAAACGGTTGGGAAAAGTATTGTTCAAATATTCTTGAGCAATACGGGCATTGTGGGCAGGGCAACCACCTTAGCAATTTGATTACTTGAAAACGTGGGCTTTTGATCCGCGGTAGCACAAATGAACACTTGCTTTAACTCCTGTTCTTCATTAATCAACACATCAGGCTTTTTGTGTTTTTGTGGGAGCACGCATCCCACTTTTTTTTTTATCATACGGTACTAATGTCGTATATTAGCAGTACCAGTACTCCACAGTACTAACTTTGTCTGATTTCATTAGTTTCCTACTTTTGGCAACGCACGACATCCACACTGCGCCGACAATTTTACGTAAAATAAACCACAAAACAGAGACTCTTTAAACCAGGCTTTATACTTACCGACTCGAGACGGGACATTCAAAAGTCTCCGAATTTGGAAACAAAACAAAAATGAGACCAAAATGTCGCAGAAATGTATTGGATTTGTCTCAAACTTTGTCGTAAAACATGAATGTTTCTGCCTCTTGTCGCTGTTTTGTCTGCTTGGTCTGGACCCCGTTTTAGATTTTTAGGATGTAAATACTAAGTTGATATGTATTGTAGTATATTAAAAATTAATCTAATGTTTCAGGTTCAAAATATGTTCCTGAAATTATAGGTGATAATTACAAAGTCCACATGAAACTGACCATCAACTATTTAGCCCCTGAAGATTATGGCATTTACAAATGTATATCAAAAAACTCTTTGGGGGACATGGAAGGTTCTGTCAACGTGTACAGTAAGTATTTTTCTTTATTTTATTAAAGTATTCGAAAAAATACATATGTCACTTTCTAAATTAAATCACTAACAATCAAATTTAATTTACACTCACCACCGACACGCAAAACGGGCACTTGAAAATTTTCATGTATTTTAAAATTTTTTATTTTTTTAATTATTGTATAAATGAATTATATATTTCACTAGAAGATCTTAAATTTCCAGATATCACTGCCGTAATTGAGCACTGGTTAAATTTTGATGAGCCTGTGTTTGTTAAAAATTATACCACAGTGGCCAGATTTAATAGAACAAATTTTTCTCATGGAGGTACTATGATAATGTCTTTAAACAACGACTTTTCCGAGGTAACTAGGTACAATGATTTGTTATCTGAAAAAGTATTCGAATTTTTAATTGTCCACCATAATGCTTATGACCTTAACATTATTTGTATTTATACTGACTCTGACATGCAATTATTCTGTCATAATCTACTAAACTTGCTTGAGTCCCTGCCCTTAAAAAGCAAATTAATTTTGTGTGGTGATCTTAATATTGACTTTCTTAGTGTATGTGCTGCTCAGGAGTTTCTTCACTCCATTTTTGATTCTTTTGGAATAGCCATGCATGTTGGTTCACCTACCAGAATATCCAAAGCCCGTTCTAGTATTATAGACTGTGTTGTGTCATCTTTTGATCCTAACTCCATCGCCTGTAACGTCTTTAGCTAGGGTCTCTCTGATCATGAAGCAGTTTTAACTGAATTTTCGATGAAGTCTAAAAGCAAAAATGCCCCTCGTAAATTATTCCGTATTTTTTCAGAAAAGAAGGCTCAAAAGTTCAGCCACTTATGTAAAACAACCAACTGGGATACTCGCTCTTATGATGTCGACACCTAATTTTCTATTTTCGTAAAAACATTAACCAGTCTAGCGTTCAAATCCTTTCCTCTTAGGCCTATCAAAAATAAGCATAATAAACCTTGGACCACTAAAGGTCTACGTATATCTTCTAAAAAAATGCGTTCATTATCTCACTTAAAATTCTCAGACAACTTTAATAAACATGTCGTTCCAATATGGTATTTTTCCAAAATGTCTTAAGACGGCAAAAATCATTCCTCTGCATAAAGGAGGAGACAAAGATTCCAACGCTATCTAAGATCATAGAAAGGTTGGTTAAAAGAAGGCTGGTATCTTTTCTGTTTAAGTACAAAATACTTACTGAATATCAATTTGGATTTCTAAGCAACAAGTCCGCAAATGACGCTATGTTCTCCCTCCTTAATAAAGTTTACTCCAGCCTAAATAACAATCATTCTACAGCAACTATTATCTGTGATTTTTCTAAGGCGTTCGACTGTGTAAATCATAAGATCCTAATTAATAAACTGGAGCACTATGGGTTCAGGGGAACATCTCTCGAATGGTTTAAGTCGTATCTGAGCAACAAAAGTCAACTTGTAAGGGTGGATACCACGTTGTCTTCTAGCAAGCCAATAGAATGTGGAGAACCACAAGGCTCAGTACTAGGCCCTATTTTGTTTCTTCTTTTTATTAACGACATTGCTAACATAAACATCAGTGGCAAAATATGTCTTTTTGCGGACGACACTAGCTTCACTTGGAGCAACAAGAACGTCACGGCACTTCATAGGATTATATCAAATGACTTAATCACTATTAAATCTTGGTGCGACTCGAACCTCCTGAGTCTCAACATTTCTAAAACTAAAGCTTTGTCGTATAAAAACTCGCTGGAGCCTTTTGTACTTAACAACACCTCCATTGACGTCGTAAAATCTGTAAAATTCTTAGGGCTTGTTGTAGACAATTCTCTGAAATAGAACATACATATCGAAGCTTTGTTGAAAAAATTGAGCTCTGCCTGTTTTGCATTAAGATCTGTTTCTAAGGAGCTTAACTTGTCAGAGTGGCTAGAACTGTTTATTATGCATTTTTTGAGTCGCACCTCAGGTATGCCCTTCCATTCTGGGGTACGTGTTGTGCGACTCAATTTGACTGCATTTTCAAGCTCTGGAAGAGAGCTGTTCGATATTCACTGGGAATAACCGAGACACAATCACCTGTCATTTGAAATCAAATCCATAACATCATTTTCTTCATTTCGCAAAGCATTGAACTCTTATTTACTAGACAAGGCTTTTTCTACGCTGTAAATGAATTATATTTTGAAAATCGAATCTTGATCTTGTAAACACTGGTCTAATGTTTGTTATTGCTATATTTACTAATGACATCGAAATAAATTTATTTAGAGGTCATTGATATTTACTATAAACTAACTAAATATTTTTGAATATTATTTTTATTTTTGTTCTTTTTGTATTGTAAACATTTATAAATGTTTATTTTAAACAATAAGACCGACAATATTATTTGTATAATGTTTTGTATTATCTTTTGTTTGTTTGTTTGTGTACCTTGTTTGTTTACTTTGTTTGTTTAGTTTACCTTTGTCTACAAATTGAAAAATTTTTTGACAATAAAGGCATTTGTTTAAAGTTTGGTGTTTCTAGTGGACTGATTTTGATGATTTTTAAACAATTTGTAGTTAAATTATTTTACTTTTTAGTAACCTCCTTCTGGAGGAATTTGAAAATAATTTTAGGATTTTGAAAATCATCGAGGTGCATCTTTTCTCGATAGTTTATTTTTTTGGTTCGTCTCAATAGGTTTGTTTTTATTTTTGGGAGAAATTCGCTTTTGAAGAAGACACTAACATTTTTTCGTAATTTTTATATTAAAACCATGCCTTTGCTTCTAGTCCCCGTTAACAGACCTAGTAAGCGATCTTAGCGTGCTATCTTTTTTAATCAGGATATAAAATTATAAGAAAGGGTTAAAAACATGCTCCCCAACTATTGTTAATTTCTCTATAGGTTAAAATAATAAATATGCTTTTAAAACATTTTAACAATATGCATTTTTCTTATTTCAGAAATACCCCATCCTAACGTGGCAGTATCAACCAAAATGAAAAGTAAGAATGACTTTTGCTTTGCATGACTTTTATAGTCTTTAAGTAATATTATTATAGGGTATGGGTAACTATTAAACTTTTTCTTTTCGTTCAGTTATTGTCTATAAATTTATAAGTCTTGTATACGTATGTATTAGGGTGTCCGTTATTTACCAAGTTGATTATTTCTCTCACGACGCCCTCTAAATTTTTAGTTTATTGTCTCAAAAATAACAGACCATTGTAAACTCTTAATATTCACAATAAACCTTGCCCCAAAGACAATTCATTTCCCATTAATTACATAGGAATTTGCCATTTTTTGCAAATATTTTTCCCTCGATCTTGTTTTCTCGCAGCCATAAAAATCATATAATCTTCTATAGATTTGAACGCGCTACAAAAAAGGTCTCTTACAATTTTTCGATCTTCAAACGTTATTCACGGTTAAAGTTAACCACTCGGTAAATTCCTAATTTTTCAACTTTTCTGACAAAATTATGATTATTTTTGAAAAATGTAATCTATTATTTGAAAAAAAGCAATTTTGAATCATGAAAGACAATTGAATGCATGACAGGTAGTTAATTCTAATACTTATTATAGTATTGGCAGAAAATGGTTGAAGCTTCTTTTCTTGATTATTTCATAAATTCAAATTCGTTACAATTTTTTACACGGTTTAATATTGATACATGTTTTTAGCAATTAGACAGTACGGAATGGTTAGAGGATCCTGGATACATGAGAGGCTTAGAAATTGTGAAAAATTTGATAGTAGTTAATGATACTGCAGAAAGAGCTGTTAAATTGTCAGAAGAATACATTAATATTATATCTAGAAGTGAAAATGAAAAGCAATATGTGATTCAGACTGTAAGCGAGAATAAAAAGAAATATAAAAATCCAACTAAAGAATGTTTATTAAAATAAATCAGCTATACTTAAATGGTTTAAACTTCATTAGACTTGAAGATTTCTTAATTCCCAACCTTAACGCCATCAGAGTTGTATATTTTTAGAGTAATAGATTAAATTTTTCAAAAATAATTATAATTTTGTCAAAAAAGTTGAAAAATTTAGGAATTTACCGTGGTTAACTTTAACCATGAATCACTTTAGAAGTAGTAGGTTTATAGAAAAATTGTAGAGACCTTTTTTGTAGAGCGTTCAATTCTGTAGAAGAGTATAGGATTGTCATGGCTACGAGAGAACAAGATCGAGAGAAAAAAAATATTTGCAAAAAGTGGCAAATTTCTATGTAATTTAAATGGAAAATTAATCGTCTTTGAGGCAAGGTTTATTGTGAATTTTAAGGGTATACAATGGTCTGTTATTTTTTTTAGACAATAAACTAAAAATTTAGAGGTCGTCATGAGAGAAATGATCAGCTTTGTTAATAACGGACACCTTAATATATATAAATATAATTAACTGAAGCTGATTTTCTTTGATATAATAAACATACTGATACCTATTATTTAAATACAATTTTAATAATGGTACAGCAAACCGATCAAATCGATAATAGTTTAGCTTTGCACAGAGCAGATCGTGGTTTATTGTATCGAATGCCTTTGAAAAATCTAACAGTACAAGCACATTAGCCAAACTTTTATCCCAAGCATTTAAAATATCATTAGTAACAGTAGCCAGTGCCGTGGAAATTGAATATCTTAATCTAATGCCGCATTGTGTATCTGAAATAATGTTATTTTATTGATTTTGACTCGTAAAATGGATTGATTTAATTTAAACTTAATTACTCTGAGATTTAAACAAACAACAGCTTACAACGTATGTACACATTTTTAGAAACAAATATTATTGTAACAGAATAAAAGTATTTTCGTGACAAAAGATTATCTGAAAATGAAAACAGAATTTTTATATTCCTTCCGGGCCAAATATATTTTATATATTATATTTCTTTCCGAAGAAAAATAAAAATAATCACATAGCAGGGACAAAAAAATAAAATGTTTTTCGTCAAAATGTTTTTCGACAGTGACACGTGGGGACACTCTTATTTTTTAAAAACATGGATCTAGATAAACCTAAATGTTTTTATAGAGAATAAGAGTCCAAAACTTTTTCCTTTATAAAAAATCTGGGTTTTGCTTAAAACAATCTAACTTTGAAATTTGTATTTTTTTATCTGCCTTTGTTTATTAAAAAAATATTTTCAAATTAAATTTAAACGCAATGGCTAAAGCTGCTAAGAGAAAAAAGCATTTAAAGAATAAGACTATGGCACAATTTTTACTTTTTTTTTTCAGTTTTCACTTTTTTTATTCACATTTTTCTATTGATTTTAGTTTTAATTATATTCCTGTCCGGTTTTAACGTCCATTTTACATTCGTAACAGTAAATTTGATATAAATTAATGAAATTAGGGCATAAATTTTCGAATCTGTAAACGAGCTCAGTTGTATTTTATGTTTTGGATGTAATCAATCGATTATGTTCGAAGTGAACTAAATTAAGTTTGTCATACGCGAATGATACATGGATAATTATATTAGTTTAAGCCTATTTTTAATTATTCGCATTTAATGTTTATGCAATTTAAACTTTCAATATATTATTAATATATTACTAATTTTTAACACTTTATTTAATATAATATTGTAATACGTACAAGTTTATTTTACATTACATTTACAAATACTTTTGTAACCTCATCACAACACTACGGCCTTTAATAGACTTAAATACTGCTTAATTATGTACCTTAAGAGAACATTAAATATATCTACCAGTCTTAATATTTTTTTTAATATACAGGGTCTGGTAATAGTGCGTCGGACATCTATAGCTCCTAGAATTAAAAACCTGGGAATTTTGTTTAAGTACAAACCTAAACTATGTACTAGGACGTACTTTAGGAAAATATTTTAACTTCTACAGGGTCGCTCAAGAAAGTGTGGGTGGATCGGGATGATTTTTTTTAAATATAACACCCTGTGCATGTTATTGCATTTTTAGCTTCCTTTCAGACCACTTTACATAGTCCTAAGATATTAGTGAATATATTTCGATAGTTTTAGGAATATTAATAAATAAATAAAAAATATATATTTATCCAACAGCCACTACTTATACAGACATTACTCACAACACAAGCGTGAGTTTTTAATGTTATAACAAAACTAGTGTGTTATAACTTCAAAACCACACCATTTTATATGAATTATTAAGCTATATTCGTAAATTACTAATTCAATTATTTATTTAACCCTCAACTGGCATAGTGAATATTTGTAACACTTATGGCGTGCTGGGGTCCGATGAACCCCAATTTTTTTTCAGTTAAAAATACATGATGAAGAGATTTTAGAAAAGGCTTGTTATTTTAACATTATTTAAAATATTTTCAAACTTATGAACAAACAATTTCATCAATTGTCAACAAATTAATGAGAACGGACACAAAAATAAAATAAAACGCATTTTTGGAAATTTTTGACAACAGAAATATAACTTGGCTAAGAAACCCATAGAAATGGAAAACATATATATTTTATAATTTTACCGTATTCTTAAAAAATAAAAGTACAAACAGCTGAAATGTGAAGCTAAACTAATAAACATAAATTTTCAACAAAACTGCAATCCTTGAATATACATAACTTTTTCAAAAATTCACAGTCCTTTACAAAGATGCAACCGGGGGGGGGGGGCATTGAAAATGATGAATAAAAACGTAAAAATATGATTAGTGTTAATATGAGTGTATTACATACATATGTTTAAATAACGAACTTAACAAAAAACAACAGATTTAAACATTCACTGAAAAAGTAGTAATGTTAACAGTAAAAAAACATTATCAATAATTAATAATAATTATGCGATCGCACCTATCCGTAAAACAAACAAGCAAAAAAAGAAATTAACATACAAAACATCAGATTAACATGATGACAGATCATGATCAATGATAGATAAAGAATTCTTACGGAAAGTTACACTTTACGATATAATTTTTTAACTGTTAAAGGCAAACCTATTTGGTTGATGAATTTCAAAAATCTCTTCTTATTCTTCTTTCTGTAGAATTTCATTCTTCTAGACCAGATAGTAAATGATTTTCATACACCAAATCGTTCGACATAATTTTACACTCTCAGAGGATGAATTTTCTAAAATCGCTTTGCATAACTAATTCACTAATCACTAATGTCCCTTAAACGAATCTTTGTGCTAATATTGATGTATCTAAAGCTGGTGGTAAGAACTGACCCCTAAAATATCTAAAAACTTGATATATAATCTCTATAATCTAACTGACACACCACTGACAATGACAAATAATTGATTTCTGGAGGTATTTTGTGTAGGTGTTTTTCAGGTATGTTTTAATATTTATTCGTTTTACATAATGAAATACCCATTAAACGATATAATAATACTTCATAACAAATCTAGACATATATACCTTTCATTTAAAAAAAGAATCATCAAGATTGGTGAGGCTGTTTCGGCGGGATGGATGTAACAAAGAAAACCTTTGAGATTTTATATATGTATCCCACTTCGGTCTCACAAGCTGAATTTTTCAGGGAAGGAAGTACAAGTACGTGATATGGGGACCCTTATTCTAAAAGTAGAACAAAATTAGACCGGGAAAAACGACACTGTCATCAAAAATCGATATATTAATACCACCGTATAGAGAAAACAAATACTTATTTTTTGATCCAGTACAAATAAAGTCTTCGTAGAGAGTAATTTTTATAATTATTTACAAAAAAACATTTCCATTAGCGCTTATGACCGAAAAAAACTTTAAACATGAATAACTCATTTCAATCATGCAAAAATTTGGTTTAAAAATGGAATTTTTTAAATATAACTTTCATTTAACGAAAAACGAAGGCCTAAATGAAAAAAAGAAACAATTTATAAGTTTCGCTTATGTCTTGACAAGGTAACAAAGCAAACCCCATATTTTTTTCTTTTAAACTAATAAAGATATATCAATAAACAATTAGCGATGTAATGGTTTTTGCGCGCG